ATTTCTTTTGTTACGCATTATTGGACTTTAGATACACATTATTGCAAAATTCAGCAACTCACAATTTTATATATTTTTTTTATTTGTTAGGGATGCACTTGTTTACGAATTTTTTTATTTATTTTTTGCAGATTTATGAATTTACAAGTTTATGAATATTTTTTAATTTTTTTTTACAAACTTAATTTATGAATTTTTCAATATTTTTTACAAACTTACAAAGTTACGAATTTTTTTATTTATTTTTTTATAAACTTACAAACTTACAAATTTATTAATTCTTTTTTTATTTTGTTTACGAACTTAATTTATGAATTTTTCAATATTTTTTGCAAACCTACAAAGCTATGAATTTTTCTATTTATTTTTTTACAAACTTACAAACTTACAAATTTATGAATTCTTTTTTTATTTTGTTTACAAGCTTAATTTATGAATTTTTCAATATTTTTACAGACTTAAAAAGTTATGCATTTTTTTATTTTTTTACAAATTTACAAACTTACAAAGTTATGAATTTTTCTATTTATTTTTTTACAAACATACAAACTTACAAAGTTATGAATTTTTCTATTTATTTTTTTACAAAGTTATAAATTTCTCACAACATTTAAAAATATGCAATTTGACCTTTTCCCCAATTAATTCATTTTTCTCAAAATGACACAAAATTTCATTTTGTATAAAATGAACATAAAATACGAAATGAAATTTTTTCATTTATACAAAATGAAATTTTGTATCACACACACAAAATGAAATTTTACATCATTTTATCAAATGATACAAAAGTGTATCATGCAAAAGGGATTTAAAAAAACCGACTTAATCAGGGGAACCCCTGTACATTCCCCATCCTTATCACCCAACAGGAAAAAACAATTTTTGTCAAATAACTTCCGTTGTATTAATATCTACTTTCATTGACTCACTTGTTTTAATATCACCGATTATTACTTTCGATAAAATAATCAGCCCCGATGTTTCAGCGAATCGATAATGGGATAATGAATACGAACTGTCAGATACCAACATGCTTATTCGTTATCGAATAATGAACATCAACGTCAAAATTTCGTTAGAATGAATGGAAACTTTGCGGGGAAGAAATACGTCACATTATCGATGAATCGATCGCTTAAATGACTGGTTTTATAATGTTGAAGTATTTGAAACGTGGATTGCGGAGAATATTTTGTAGCACTCTCAGAAATGTATTTCAATATTTCAATGTTTATCGTAACGTCGCATAGCTCCGGCTCCATTTACGTCAAACTATCGAGATCTTTCAATATTCCTGTATATTATTTCAAATCTCTTTGAGGAAAGACATTTATCATTTAGAGGACTTTTTTTTAAATGGTATGTGGCACAAATTTTTGAAGCTGCAATTTAGAGATTTTAAAATTTAGGAATTTTCAAATTGAAAATTGAAAAATTGAAAAATTGAAACGTTGAGAAAATTGAAAAAAATGAAAAATTCACATTAATTTCCTTGAAGAAAGAGATTTATCAAGGAAAATTTAGAAGACCTTTTTTAAAACGTTACATGACACAAATTTTTGAAGTTTAGAAATTAAAAAATTTAGGAATTGAAAAATTGAAAAGTTGGAAAATTGATAAATTGGAATATTGAAAAATTGAATAATTGGAGAATGGAATAATTAAAAAATTGAATAATTGAAAAATGGTATAATGGAAGAATTGAAGAGTTGAATAGTTGAAAAATTGGAAAATTGGGAAACTGAAGAATTGAAGAATGGAAGAGTTGCAAAATTAAAGAATGGAAGAATTGAAGTGTTGAAAAATTGGAAAATTGGGAAACTGAAGAATTGAAAATTTGGGAAATTGGAAGACTGAGAAATTGAAGAATTGAAGAGTTGAAAAATTGGAAAATTGGAAAGTTGAAGAATTGAAAAATTAAAGAATGGAAGAACTGAAGAGTTGAAATAGTGAAATAATAAAAAATTGAAAAATTGAAGAGTTGAAAAATTAAAGAATGGAGGAACTGAAGAGTTGAAAAATTAAAGAATGGAGGAACTGAAGAGTTGAAAAATTGAAAAATTGAAAAATTGAAAAATTGAAAAATTGAAAAACTAAAAAATTGAATAACTGAAAAATTGAATAACTGAAAAATTGAAAAATTCACTAATATTAATAAATATCCCTATACATAACATTTCACATAACATAATCGTAAAAGGTCGCCCATACATTTTAATTTCACATCCCAACACACATACTTCAATCTAAAGTTCACGTTTATTTGCATGAAAAACAGAGATTAAAATGATATTTAATTCGGGTGAAAACACGTTTTAGCGTACGGGGTAGCAAAATGTTAACGATTTGATATTTTCGAAAATATTGATGATACTAAAGTACGTCAGCCGATAAAATTGAAAGGTTTTAAAATACAGATTTTACCGACGCGTTTATTTATTTGTCCCGCTTGCGCTTCGCGACAACGTCCTTTATCAGCGCACACGCAGCAGCATTACACTCTGCGTGTTGTGCCCATATTTTAATTTGAATAATTTCTATGTTTTCAAACATGACAAATATTTCTCGGAAATATTCACTCGTTGCACTCTTGATACGTGTTTACACGGTGTACTTTCAAAAATTGCATTTCGAGTCAGATGGAATTTTGTGCCAACAGCGTTTAGTTCGCGTTGCATTCGCGTCAAGATGATTTAACTTTCGAGATTCGTTCTAGTGTAACAACGAAAAATACTTGTTCAAACGCTTGTTATTTATTAATAACTTACTATTCGCTATTGTGGATAAGATCATTGAAATTTTCTGTTTTTTAAAGGTTAGAGGTAGAATACGAGGATGTACGCTTTTCAATGGATATATTATTTCAATAGTATTATATTAGTAATTAATTCTTTTATTATATTTATTTTGTTATATTATTTTATTATATTATATTATATATTGTTATAATATTAATGATTAAAATTATATCTGGTATATATTTCTTTTACTGATACATTAATACTCATATGTGCTCATATGTGGATATAGACTCATATGTACATATGTGTATGTTATAGAAAAATTTGATTTGCTCTCGTCAATGGTTCTGGGGTAAGTGCCAAGAGGTCAAACTTAGTCCTCTTACCAGAAGGCATCCTCGCCTTCCCCACTCCGTGGCCAGATCCTTGAGGAACAATGTCCTATTCATTCCGGCAACGCAACGTCGGGCTGCTTGCCTTTCCCAATTTTCCTCATTCAAACAAATAAGTCTGCAACATCCGATTGCCATGTGACTTCAAGTCACTGGCAATCGTCTGTCGCCCTAGCTGTCCGTTTACAACCATTCACTCGTCCAGACCTCGCACAGTTCATCCCGATCATAAATCGTACGAAAGCAAAATAGCGGCGGGCTAATTGCCTTTGACGACCCTCAAAAATACGTTGGCGCTAACATGTATTATGACGTATAATTATTACTCATAATAAATATGTGAATGAATATCATTTTTATAGTTACATTGTTTATTGGTATATTATTAAATTTATATTTTACAGGAGTCACATTACATATATTACTACTCATAATTATATGTTACATGTGTTACTTATAATCACATATGTATGTACATGAATTGTGCAGCTGTTACACTGTTTATTTTTATCTCATTAAAATTATATCATTATTGCATGATTTACATTACATACGAACTTACAACCATATGTTACATATGTTATTTATAATTTATTTATGCAAGTAAATAATTTTTCACAACAATCCTGACCCAAATTACACTCCCCAATTTTTTCTTTATCATCAATGTACCATCCCGTACAGAATGTTCTTTTTTATTAACAATACAGTGTTCTCATTCATCGCGAACGAGAAACCCGTTGATTAGGTGGGATAAAAGTAGCGATCCAGCGTCGCATAGAATAATCTCGGGTGATTTCCCAGACGATTTACGGGCCGGCGGCTGTTTGAAATTCCGAAAGTTGAATTCCGAGACGAAAGAACGCCGAAAGGAAAAACGGTGCGGTATATTTTATAGCGAGTACGCTCGCCGTAGGAAGAAAAAAAGGTGGTTTTATATCCGAGCGAACAAGCAAAGGATGATCACGGTATCTCTCGATCATGTATGCAGGAACATCCCTGATGGTGGGCTAGCTTTTTGAATTGAGAAAGCGGACAAATCTGTTCTATGGGTTTCGGATAAAATGGACGATTTGCTAAGTTGTTGACGGCCGCTTGTGTGAAGCTGTGATACACGGATATTGAAGAACTAACTATTATATTAATACATATATACATATACATATATGCTTTTCTGTCGATTTTCGTGGGATTTCTTTGATTTCCGTAGGTTTTTGTCGGTTTCCGTCGGTTTTCGTTGGTTTTCGTAGGTTTTCGTTGGTTTTCGTTGTTTTCCGTAGGTTCTCGGAGGTTTTCGTAGGTTTTCGTCGGTTTCCGTCGATCTTCGTTAGTTTCTGTAGGTTCTCGACGGTTTCCGTAGGTTTTCATTGGTTTCCGTCGATCTTCGTCGGTTTTCGTCGGTCTTCGTCGATTTCCGTCGATCTTCGTCGATTTCCGTCGGTCTTCGTTGGCTTTCGTAGGTTTTCGTCGGTTTCCATCAGTTTTCGTTAGTTCCTGTCGGTTTTCGTTGGTTTTCGTTGTTTTCCGTAGGTTCTCGGAGGTTTCCGTAGGATTTCGTCGGTTTCCGTCGATCTTCGTTAGTTTCTGTAGGTTCTCGACGGTTTCCGTAGGTTTTCATTGGTTTCCGTCGATCTTCGTCGGTTTTCGTCGGTCTTCGTCGATTTCCGTCGATCTTCGTCGATTTCCGTCGGTCTTCGTTGGCTTTCGTAGGTTTTCGTCGGTTTCCGTCGGTTTTCGTTAGTTTCTGCCGGTTTTCGTTGGTTTTCGTTGTTTTCCGTAGGTTCTCGGAGGTTTCCGTAGGATTTCGTCGGTTTCCGTCGATCTTCGTTAGTTTCTGTAGGTTCTCGACGGTTTCCGTAGGTTTTCATTGGTTTCCGTCGATCTTCGTCGGTTTTCGTCGGTCTTCGTCGATTTCCGTCGGTCTTCGTTGGCTTTCGTAGGTTTTCGTCGGTTTCCGTCGGTTTTCGTTAGTTTCTGCCGGTTTTCGTAGGTTTTCGTTCGTTTCCGTAGGTTCTCGGAGGTTTCCGTAGGTTTTCGTTGGTTTTCGTCGATCTTCGTTAGTTTCTGTCGGTTCTCGGCGGTTTCCGTAGGTTTTCGTTGGTTTTCGTCGATCTTCATCGGTTTTCGTAGGTTTTCGTTGGTTTCCGTAGGTTTTCGTCGGTTTCCGTCGGTCTTCGTTGGTTTCCGTAGGTTTTCGTTGGTTTCCGTCGGTCTTCGTCGGTTTCCGTCGATCTTCGTCGGTTTCTGTAGGTTCTCGGCAATTTTGGTAGGTTTTTCATCAGTTTCTATCAATTTCTGCTGACTCTTAACTTCAGATTCACATCAATTTCTACCAAACTGTGACTGATTTTAACATCAACTAAATAACCAGTTACCACAACCAGTTAAAACATAAATACCTTACCATATCTTCCTACAATTCACTAATACGCTAAACGCCACATATTGCATTGCTCTCGAATTCTAAACGCGTCCCATCGTTTTGTCGCAAAGCGTTGATAACGTTATCGAACGAAAAGCACCCCCAAGCTTTCGCCCAAGCCACGGTACAAAAGCATCGAAAATCGTGGTGAAAGCAGCCACTTTCGAATATTAAGCTTAGCAGGAAAGAATCTGTCGACGCGCTGAATAACTCAATCGGCAGAGAAGTCGCCCGACAAACAGAAGAAGGATCCGGGTTCGAATCACAGTCGCTGTAATCCGATCAATCGATCCTTCTCTTCCCTTAGGCTGCAACGTAACCACGGTATCCAACAAAAGAATACCGAGACCATTCGCGTACCTCGGATGTCTCTCCGGGATGGACAAAATCCCCGAGCTTTACCGAACGTTGTCGACTGTCGACGCAACCTACTCCTAACTAAATGACTTTTGCAAAAATCGTGTACATTCGCAATTTTTTAATTTTCAAAATTTAGTGCGAAAATTTTACTTCGAAATTTTTGAAGTTTCAGAAATTTTTTATGTCAAAGTTCAGAAATAAGACTAGTAAAAGGGATTTGAAAATTTTAGAGATTTTTTAAATTGATTGAATGAATTTTTGATTGATAGAATGAATTTGAGATTGAAATTAATGAATTTTTGAAATTTTTAGAAAAACATTAAGTCATCGAAGAAATTTTGAATATCTTTTACCCCTAAAAATTGGCAAATGTATGATTTGACATATTCGATAGGAAAATTGCAGCATCGAACGCATTAAACATATCAGTGAAACAGTAGCAGTTCATCAATTTGAAATACGGCGTATTGTTCGACTGTGTCATAATCATTCGCCTAGTCGGATTTACCACCTGTCTGATCTGTTCGGGAATTGTGTTGCGCGATATAGAGTACACGATCAGTCGCAATAAAGCTTGCCACAATAAACTAACAGCGTCTATTGACACAAAGAGCCGGCAGGACTCGTTTTTGTCCTTGGAGTATTACATCGTTTCGTGTTGCAATAACGACCTCGTGGCTACGATTTTTGTTCGTTTGCCCGTTTGTTTGATTGGCGGTTTGCTTGTTTGTTTGTTTGCTTGTTTGTCTAGCGTTGTTTTCTCCCCCGTGGTCGATTGCTCCTTTCGAAATTAACCGATTGCCATGCAAAACCGGAACGTATGCTTGATCGTGAAAGAAATTTCTGATGGTCTTATTTCGTCGGCCATGGTTATTGCTCGGGTTATCGACTCACGGAAACTGGGGCGAGATTTTACGCTTCGTGTCTTGATATCGAATAGCGATGGACAAATATGATGGGAAAGATGTAGGATGATGGTGGGTTTATTTATTGACTTGATATTTAGAGATTTCTGAAAATTTCGAAGTTTTCTAGTTTTCAAGTTTCAGGTTTCAGGCTTCAGGTTTCAGGTTTCAGGTTTCAGGTTTCAGGTTTCAGGTTTCAGGTTTCAGGTTTTAGGAATCAAGTTTCAGGTTTCAGTTTTCAGGTTTCAGTTTTCAAGTTTCAGGTTTTAGATTTCAGGTTTCAAGTTTCAGATTTCAAGTTTCTGATTTCAGTATCAGGTTTCAGTATCAGGTTTCAGGGATCAAGTTTCAGGTATCTGGTTTCACGTTTCAGGTTTCAAGTTTTAGGTTTCAAGTGTCAAGTTTCAGGTTTCAGGTTTCAACTTTCAGGCTTCAGGTATCAGGTATCAGATTTCAGGTTTCAACTTTCAACTTTCAGATTTCAGGTTTCAAGTTTCTGGTTTCAGTATCAGGTTTCAGGTTTCAGGTTTCAAGTTTCAGGTATCTGGTTTCACGTTTCAAGTTTCAGGTTTCAGGTGTCAAGTTTCAGGTTTCAGTATCAGGTTTCAGGTTTCAAGTTTCAGGCTTCAGGTATCAGGTTTCAATTTTCAGGTTTCAGGTGTCAAGTTTCAAGTTTTCAAGTTTTGATGTTTTTAAGATTTCACATTTTTTAATGATCTCTTCAGCTATCTTTCTTTTCCTTTTTTCTTCACAATAATCTATAAGATAATTGTATAAGAATATAAAAATAATATATTCATTTTATTCACATTTTGATGGAAATTTACCTGCACAACACAAAGATGGTCGCCAGAGTTGGGACAAATCGATGGTTGTCGGATTCAGAGTGCAATATTCAGAATAGCTTATAATGAGAGTAATAATGATAATAATGATAATACTCATAATAATATCGACGTTAATGCTGATAATTACAATAATGATACTCCGCATTCAGCCTGCCACGATTGCTGAAATTTAAAAAGCCAAATGGGAAAATTTCAAAGAAAGAAAAGAAGCTTTAAAAATATTTTTAAATCCAGAAAATTAAAGAATGAAGACGTTTGTAAATTAAAAATTTGTTAACACAAAATATTCACAAATTCTGAAATTTCGTGACAGTTCAAAAATTCAAAAATTCCACATTTTTAAATAAAAAAATTTGCTAATACAAAATATTTATAAATTCTAAAATTTCATAACAATTCAAAAATTCAAAAATTTCACATTTTCAAATAAAAAAATTTGCTAACACAAAATATTTATAAAATCTAAAATTTCATAACAATTCCAAATTTCAAAAATTTCACATATTCAGATAAAAAAATTTGCCAACACCACAATGTACAAATAACATCTAAAATAAACCACGATACGTAAAATAAAAATATGTAATAAAAATATACAAATTTTTAAATTTGGTAAAAAATTCGAATTTCACCAATTTTTATATTTACCATTACTTTAAAAAGCACAGTTTAAATGAAGAGTCTACGAGATTTTGCAAAAGAGTATCATTAAAATAAGCGACCGAATCCCTCTCTTTGTTAGTTCTGAACGTTGGTATCAGTGTATGCTGATTGCGTCCCCCAGACAAGGGTCAAAAATGACCTAAGTCCTCTCTGTGGCTAAGGCGCGAAGATATCGTTGCGGACGAATAGCGAGCTCAGCGTATAAAACGTCGCTTTTCGATCGGGTCTCCCAACGACGAGCGTACCATTTGGATTTTCGCCGTTTAAGTAGAGCCAAGGGGAAGCTAAAGCCGACCAAGCCCAGGAGAAGCTTTGCCATGGAGCCATATAATACCTACGCGAACGACGCTATGCAAATAAATACGCCGCGAACGGGAATGTAGGAAAGTAAAGCGGAGAATAAATTGAAACGACGGAGGCGTCGAGGGACGATAGCAAATTATGGATGATATACACTCGGCACAATGCCCGTGGCAGGTTAGATGGAAATTAAAGATATCAACGGAATTCGAGTTAGATGTCGAGGAATTTTTAGTTTCGTGAATTCTCAACGAGTCACATTCATTTACAAACACTTGATTCACTAATTTTTGAAGACTTAAATTGTTAAAAGTTCAAATATCGAACCACGGAGTAAATCAGAGGACACTCCGTGTCGGTACCTTTGCGGTCCCCTTAAATTTGGGCGGGAAATTCAAATCGAGCAAATCTACTTTCACGTTAATCTCTAATAATTTGGAATATTTTTGTAATAACCACCTTCAATATTATTCACCTTTGCATTAATCACCTAAACTTCATTAGAATGTTAGAAAATTCAATCACTATAACCTCCAAATAAAAATATCAAAAAATTCAACGGAATTCGAGTTAGAAGTTGAGGAATTTTTAGTTTCGTGAATTCTCGACGAGTCACATTCATTTACAAACACTTGATTCACTAATTTTTGAAGACTTAAATTCTTAAACTGTCAAAATTATTAAACCACAGAGTAAATCAGAAGAGACACTCCCTGTCGGTACCTTTGCGGTCCCCTCAAATTTGGGCGGGAAATTCAAATCGATCAAATCTACTTTCACGTCAATCTGTAATAATTTGGAATATATTCGTAATAACCACCTTCAATATTATTCACCTTTGCATTAATCACCCAAACTTCATTAAAATATTAGAAAATTCAATCACTATAACCTCCAAATAAAAATATCAAAAAATTCAACGGAATTCGAGTTAGATGTCGAGGAATTTTTAGTTTCGTGAATTCTCGACGTGTCACATTCATCTACAAACACTTGATTCACTAATTTTTGAAGACTTAAATTCTTAAATTGTCAAAATTATTAAACCACAGAGTAAATCAGAAGAGACACTCCCTGTCGGTACCTTTGCGGTCCCCTTAAATTTGGGCGGGAAATTCAAATCGAGCAAATCTACTTTCACGTCAATCTCTAATAATTTGGAATATATTTGTAATAACCACCTTCAATATTATTCACCTTTGCATTAATCACCTAAATTTCGTTAAAATATTAGAAAATTCAATCACTATAACCTCCAAATAAAAATATCAAAAAATTCAATCACTATAACCTTCAAATAAAAATATCAGAGAATTCAATTTACTATAACCTCAAAATAAAAATATCAAATTAAATTTTATCTTTGAAACATTATCTTCGCTTCTCCCAAAAATGGACTTTCCTTTGAATCAAACCTGACCTCACAGTGCACCCACGCTACAAAACAACAAAAACAGCGTCACAAACGCGATAAAAAATATCTACCATCAAAAAATATCGATACGATACAGTGGCATTGTCACAGTCCAGAATAATTCGATAACAATGACCTAGGCCGTAAATCAAACAACACGAGTCGACTGCATCGTGCGGCACGGTTGCGATTTGCGTACACGATTCAACATTCGTGTAATTATTACACTCTAATACAATCAGCCGTTAGCCAAATGTTTGGCACGGTGAGCTTAAAACGGTACATATACACATAGACCCCATAGATAGCCATGGTCCTAGCAGCGATACTATATTGACCCTGACACAGGCTTACCAAGTTCGCCAATAGCGCCCCTTCCGCTATGGTCGCTTCTGTTAATTTCATTCGCAAGACTAGTTCCCTAGCTTCTATCGATTCGAGGGTTAATTTATCGGTAACATCTATTACGATGACGATAACACTTTGGTAAAAATTTGTTACTAAGGGATAGACTCGTAGACTAGTTACTTTTAGGTGAGTGTCAATTTTGGTGAGCTTGGAATTTGCAGAATTTTATGTTTGCATGTAAGTGTAGGTTTTTGTAAGTGTTGTAAACTGCAATTCTTTGGTTCATTTATTCAATTATTCTATTTCTTTAATTCTTCAGTTCTTCAATCCCTCAATTCTTCCATTCTTCAACTATTCAATTATTCAGTTATTCAGTTATTCAATTCTTCAATTCTTCAATTCTTCAATTCTTCAATTCTTCAATTCTTCTATTCTCTAATTCTTCTATTCTTCAATTGTTCCATTATTCAATTATTCAATTCTTCAATTCTTCAATTCTTCAATTTTTCAATTCCTCAATTCTTCAATTCTTCAATTTTTCAAATCACAAATTCCTATACTTCTACATAGCTAGACACCACATCTTCCAAATTTTCTAGATCCCCAAGTCCCAAATTCTCAAATCCCTAAACTCTCAAACCCAAAATTAGAAAACCCATAAATCCTTAAATCCCTAAATTCTCAAATCCCTAAACTCTTAAGCCCCCAATTGAAAAATCCCCAAATCCCTAAATTCCTAAATCCTCAAATCCCTAAACTCTCAAACCCCAAATTGAAAAATTCCCAAATCCCTAAATTTCGGAATTCTGAAAGCCCTACACTCTCAAACCCCAAATTGAAAAATTCCCAAATCTCTAAATTGCTGAATTCTAAAAGCCCTAAACTCTCAAACCCCAAATTGAAAAATCCCTAAATCCCTAAATTCCTAAATCT